AAGTCAAACTGTCACTGTTTGTGGATGACATAATGGTATATCTGGAAAACCCCAAAGACTCCACCAAAAAGCTCCTAGAACTGGTAAATGAATTCAGCAAAGTTTCAAGATACAAAATTAGTGTACACAAATTAGTAGCCCTTCTATACACCAACAGTGACCAAAGTGATAATCAAATCAAGAATCCAACCCCTTTCACAATAGCTGAAAAAATAAATAAAATAAAATGTTTAGGAATATACTTAACCAAGGAGGTGAAAGACCTCTACAAGGAAAATTATGAAACACTCCTGAAAGAAATCATAGACGACACAAACAAATGCGAACACATCCATGCTCATGGATGGGTAGAATCAATATTGTGAAAATAACCATACTGCCAAAAGCAATCTACAAATTCAATGCAATTCTCACTAAAATACCACCATCATTCTTCACAGAACTGGAAAAAAACCTAAAATTCATATGGAACCAAAAAAGAGTCTGCATAGCCAAAGCAAGACTAAGTAAAAATAATAAATTAGAGGCCTTACATTACCCAACTTCAAAATATACTATAAGGCCCTAGTCACCAAAACAGCATGGCACTGGTATAAAAACAGGCATATAGACCAATGGAACAGAACAGAGAACCCAGAAATAAAGCCAAATGATTACAGTCCACTGATCTTCAACAAAGCAAACAAAAACATGAAGTGGAAAAGGACATTCTATTCAACAAATGGTACAGGATAACTGGCAAGCCACAGGTAGAAGAATAAAACTGGATCCCCATCTCTCACTTTTTACAAAAATCAACTCAAGATGGATCAAAGACTTAGATCTAACACCTGAAACCATAAAAATTCTAGAATACAACATTGGAAAAGCTCTTTTAAAATTGGCTTAGGCAGAGACTTCATGACCAAGAACCCAAAAACAAATGCAACAAAAACAAAGATAAACAGATGGAGCTTAATTAAACTAAAAAACTTCTGCACAGCAAAAGAAATAATCGGCAGACTAAACAGACAACTCACAAGATAGGGGGAAATCTTTGCTATCTATACATCTGAAAAAGGACTAATACCCGGAATCTACAAGGAACTCAAACAAATCAGCAAGAAAAAAAAATCCCATCAAAAAGTGGGCTAAGGACATGAAAAGACAATTCTCAAAAGAAGATATACAAATGGCCAAAAAACATATGGAAAAATGCTCAACATCACTAATGTTCAGGGAAATGCAAATCAAAACCACAATGTGATACCACCTTACTCCTGCAAGAATGGCCATAATCAAAACATCAAAAACTAATAAATGTTGACATGGATGTAGTGAAAAAGGAACACTTTTACACTGTTTGTGGGAAGGTAAACTTGTACAACCACTATGGAAAATAGTGTGGAGATTCCTTAAAGAACTAAAAATAGATCTACAATTTGATCCAGCAATCACACTCCTGGGTATCTACCCAGAGGAAAAGAAGTCATTATATGAAAAAGATACTTGCATATACATGTTTACAGCAGCACAATTTGAAATTGCAAAAATATAGAACCAGCCCAAATGCCCATCAATCAACAAGTGGATAAAGAAAATACGATTAGATAGATAGATAGATGATTGATAGATAGATAGATAGATAGATAGATAGATAGATAATGTGTGTGTGCATATGTGTGTGTGTGTGTGTGTGTGTGTAATGGAATACTATTCAGGCATAAAAATGAATAAAATAATGGCATTTGCAACAACCTGGATGGAATTGGAGACCATTATTCTAAGTGAAGTGTCTCAGGAATGGAAAACCAAACATTATATGTTCTTGCACATAAGTGGGAGCTAAGCTATGAGGATGCAAAGCCATAAGAATGATACAATGAACTTTGGAGACTCAGGGGAAAGGGTGGGAGGGAGTGAGGAATAAAAGACTACAAATTGGTTACAATTACACTGCTCGGGTGATGGATGCACCAAAATCTCAGAAATCACCACTAAATAACCTATTCACATAACCAAACACCACCCGTTCCCCCAAAAACCTATTGAAAAAAAAATGTAATAACAAAAAAAGACTACATATTTGGTACAGTGTACACTGCTTGGGTGATGGGTGCACTAAAATCTCAGAAATCACCTCTAAAGAACTTATCCACATAACCAAAAACCACCTGCCCAAAAACTATTGACAATGGCCAGGGACGGTGGCTCATGCCTGTAATCCCAGCACTTTGGGAGGCGAAGGCAGGCAGATAACTTGAGGTCAGGAGTTTGAGACCAGCCTGCCGATCACAGTGAAATTCCATCTCTGCTAAAAGTACAAAAATTAGCTGGGCATGGTGGTGTGCACCTGTAATCCCAGCTGCTCCGGAGGCTGAGGCAAGAGAATCGCTTGAAGCCAGAGGCAGAGGTTGCAGGGAACCAAGATCATGCCACTGCACCCCAGCCTGGGTGACAGAGTGAGACTCCAGCTAAAAAATAAAAAAATTAAAAAAAAACTATTGACATTAAAAATAATACTAATAATAAAATGAAAATAAGAAAAAAATAACAGCAACACTTCTGTGTTCTACAAGGCCCTGGTATGGCCCTCCCCAGCCTCTCCACATCATCTATTACTCTTCACCAAGCTTCAGCCAAGCCAGTCACCCTGATGTCCCTCAAACACACCAAGTGTGGTTCTCCCTCAGTCCTCTATATGTGTTCCTTCTGCCAACATCCCAGCCCTCACAACTGTTTTCTCAGTTTGCAAATTTCATCTCAAATGTCACCTCTCCTCAGACAGCTTTCTCTAATCCCCCATACCCAGTTACCTTTCATTCTACAATCCTGTTTCCTTCATGGCAGCTTGATCTAAAATGAGATCATTTCTTTATTTGTTCTCTGAATACTATCATTCTCTCCTACTAGAATGCAAACTCTGGCAGGGCAGGTTCTTGTCCAACTTGTTTATATCTGTATCCCTGGCACCAGGTAATAAAGAAACATTCAGTAATCACTAGCCAAATGAATGAATGAGCAAATGAGCAAAAGAACAGGTATCAAATCCAATTCAAATAACTCCTTCCAAAAGAATTCCTGGATGACATTAGGTATCCTTTTCTGATGAACATTATGTTGCAATAATAATGACCAACAATTAAAGGAACATGTAGTGATCATCTACTGTTATCTACTTATTAAGAAATAGTTACTTAATTCTGAATACCTACCAAGCACTCTGTAAGTTACTGGACGTACAAAGATCAAGAAGAGAAACATGGTCTATGTTCTCAGTGTAGCTTTTTATTCAAAATGAAAAATGTTCCTGGTAGACAGACTGCTAAAATTCAAAGTCAACCCTCAACAATTTCTATTTTAACCAGAACTGTACCTCTGACTGCATTATGAAATACACTAGACTTTTTATCAGATCAGATAGAAAGCACAACATTCAATTGCTTATTCTCATTTCTGCCAACTGTTCTAAAAGAGAAAAGGATATTAAAACATTTAAAACTGCAGATAGCAAGAGAGGAAAGAAAGAGACAAGAAAAGTTTTACTACCTGTCAAGGCATAAGCTACCCATAGTATTATCTGTAAGAGTTTTCCTAAAGAATCTCACATTGCTATCTTCAGCAATATCTACCAAGAAGTACAGAAAGTCCAATGCAAAATAGTTTCTTATCTCATAGTGACATGGTTTGGATCTGTGTCCCTACCAAATCTCAAGGTGAATTGTAATCTCTGGGGCCTGGAGGTGACCAGATCATGGGGGTGGAATTCTCATGAATGGTTTAGCACCATACCCTCGGTACTGTTCTCCAATAAATAAATAAATGATAAAACACCCCCCTTTTGTGTTGTTGTAATAGTGAAAGAGTGAGTTCTCATCAGATCTGATAGTTTTAAAGTGTGTAGCACCTGCCAGGTGTGGTGGCTTACACCTGTAATCCCAGCACTTTGGGACGTGGGCAGATCACAAGGTCAGGAAATCAAGACCATCCTGGCCAACATGGTGAAACCCATCTCTACTAAAATACAAAAAAAAAAAAAAAAATTAGC